CGACCACTGATCAGGCATCGGCGAGGTGCCCATACATTCTCATAGTTAAATGCCGACCCTGCCTCAGCGACCCTCTAGTTGCCCCTCTCCCCAACCCATGGAGGAAGGGAAGCTGTTTCCTTCTCCATGCCCCAACTGCTTTTTGTTACACACACCTCTGTCCTTTGTCCCCCCGCAACTCTGAGCCCCCCAAATCGCCAGACGATGCCCGTGTTTTCACACTGCCACCGATCTTTCGAAAACCGGTCGGCCATCTACCCTGTTTTTGATCGCTGGTGCTGTCGTTGGCGTTGCCGGCCTAGAGTGACCAGACCATTTGCGAACATCGTCAGCCACCGACAGTATCCACACTGACTGTATCCGATCGTCTGCGTTTAGTGCACGCGCGTACTCTACTCTACCGACTCTGATAATTTGCAATTCGTTTCGTGTTTAAGACTTGTTCTCGCTCACTTCGCACTCAGCTCAGCATGCCTTCCACGTGCGTGCGGAAGCACGAAAACAGCTGTTAATTTGCGCAGAATGAATAGCAAAATATCAATAGCAAAGTTCGTGAGGCCATGCCAACCCGCCGGTGCAACAAAACGATTTCTTGACCATGGCCGCCGATTCTTCGAACACAGCAGCGCGCACTGATCCAGGAGGCCATGCTTTGACTTCTGCACGCGCAGACACTCTTTCCAAATTTTTCTACGTTCGCGTTTCATGGACCTTTCAAGCAACCTACCCAACCTGCCACCTTCTCGTGTGTTTTGGTTTTCAAGGTCCCCCTCCCGCCGCATCCTCCCCACTCTTTATCACAACTCCTTGCCCTTCTCTCCCAAGTCTGCTCTTCTCTCTTGATCACAAACCCTTCGCCCGTCTCCACCGCTTCACGACGCCCACCACGCTGGCTCGAATTAATTTCGTTTTCTGACTGGAAACGGGCCCAGACCAGTTCCATGCATTTTGGCATGTGTGTCGCGTGCGCGTCTTGCTCGCTCTTGGTGTGCACGTGTGGTCATGATGGCCGACAGGAGGACTAGCTCGCTTTTTCTTGCTGCTCAACAAAACGTCGAAAGTGTGACCGCTTGGCTTGAGCGTAATCTGCACGTTAGGTGCCGCTTTGCGGAGCGCTTGCTCATAGCTGTTGACCACCTGGCAGCCAACTTGCCGCTTCGGGCGTTCCGGTATTCAGCTCTGGAGATGGTGAATATTTCGTGGGCAGTGGTGACGGCTACATGCGCGCGAAACTGTTTTCGCGAGGCCGACTTCGTCGACGTCGGGCCTGATGCCGAGCCTGAAGCTTCCGAACTGCGGCGGCGATTTGTGGCAGTGCGTTGTCGACTCCGACCTCGGAGAGTGGGTGGGACATCGGTTGCGATGGTTTAATTATGGCAGATGATGATGCCGACACTGCAGAACTGTGCACGGATTGGGGCATTGTGAATGACGTACGTGGCGAGAGCAGTTTGGAGGAATCGGATTGCGGTAACGACAAAACTTTGGAGCCAGTGCCTCATGCAGCTTATGCCACAAGCCTCGGTGAACGAGCTCCCTGTTGTTTTAAACGAACTCGAGACCGCCTTTATCGCTTCTGCTCTTCGAAACAAGTGCATCACGGACTTTTTGGGGCTCAAAAAAATTGTGTTTTCACTCGCAACTTTTTTTCAAAAGCTGTGTTTCATTTACTACGAACATCGAGGTACAGCGAACGGATGCCGCGTCACGCTCAGGTTTGTTATAAGCGGCCTCGACTGTATACAAACTCAGTATCAATACCTTTAGATTTTAACTAAGCCCACATGCAAACCACTGTGTTGCTTTTAATTCGAGTGCAGGTGACTACAGCGTGCACTTCCAATCGCCGACTACGTCAGTGCACGCTGCTTGCTGCTGCCCTAGCCGAGTTGCACAGCTTTTTCAGTGGGCGCAAGTCAGCCTAATCAATAGGTTCTCATCTTTTACGAGCCTTCTAGTCTCCTGTTGTTCCAACTGCCATCACTGCTACATGACAATATACTACAGAAAGGCCCACCTGTGGGAGTTCTCGCCAGAGGGTGCGCTGTCCACAAGGCTCGTCAGCATCAATTGATCCCCACCGGCAAGCCTGCTGCACCACAGCCTGCTGGTAAAACTGGTAGAAAGGCTCTTCCTCCAACAGCCGGCCATCACTGTCACCCACAACACATTTCTCGTTTATGACATTACACAGCCAAAAAGAATAGCACACCAGCTCTGTGGCAACCCAAGAACAAAAATTGCCACTTCATAAATTGCTGCATCTATACATGGTGCCCCAAATTTCACCCAGCACAAGTTAAAAAAAAAAAGAGGAACGCCATGACACAAAGCACACCTACTGCATATTGTTCCCAGTAGACTGTAGTAGCCACAACTAATGTTTTCGGTAAGAAGGTTTATTAAATTCAAGCTATTTTCTGAGAAGCCAGACTTCAGTGTCTAAGTACACACAGATGTATCTCAGCTCGGCTTGGGAGGTCTATTGCTGCAAGAGGATGAAGAGCCATGCTACTATGCAGAGCTAGCTTTTGAGGCATTCTCATTAGTATTAAGGCAATGTGTTCGCAAAGGAACCACTTTTTTCAGATGTCTTAAAAGGTATCCTGCACCCCATAACCCATGGCTAACAGATGGTTTATTGAAGTGCATGCGTAAGAAAGACAATATGTACAAAAACAAGAAATGTTGTTTCTCTTTGAGGTTAAATCCTCAAACTGCAGCAGCGATATTCATGTTATAAAGGTATCTTAAATAAATTGTTGAGAAACCCCCAAAAAAACGTATTACAAAAATGAATTTCAAAAAGCTGGTGATATCACTGAACAATGGAACCTCATCAACTCTTCTCTGAACAGGAACTCAAAAGAATCACAGATAAGATTTCGAGCATTATTGGCAGCTACTGAGATCCTACAGCCATTGTGAATAAATTTAATAATTACTTTAAAGTTAATAATACCCTCGAGTTCGAAAGCTTTGAAAATGCTTGAAAGACAACCACAGTCATTTTTCGTATATCCTATTTACCGGAAGAAATTCACAATGTAATCAAGCAAATAAAGTAAACAAGCTCGGGTCATGGTGAAATTCAATGAGTTCATTTGAAATATGTCGCCGATATCATTGCTGATCCCCTTTCACATATAGTTAACCTTTTGTTTAAAAATGGCATATTCCTATTTGATTTAAGTGAGCCCAAATAGTTGCTGTATTTAAAAAAGGTGATAAGGGTTTGTTTTGTAACTATCACCCGATTGCAATACTGTCTGTGCTCAGCAAAGCTATAGAGAAGTGCTTTGAAAAATCTTTAACAAATTACTTAACAAATTTTAACATTATTTGTGCCACTCAGTTTGGATTTCATACAAGTTACTCTAACAGCCTTGTGCTTCTTTCATTCATGGATAAGATTATACATTACATTGACACAGGTAATTATGCTGCAGTAGTGTTTATTGACCTCATGAAAGCATTCATTCCTATCTTTCATAAAATTTTAATTACTAAACTAAACGCAGTTGGTGTGGCAGGACCTGCATTGAACTTCATTCGCAGCTACTTAAATAACAGAGAACAGGCTGTTAGCATTTCTAATCATCTATCCAATTTTAAATTAGTCAATAGGGGAGAACCTCAGGGATCTATACTGAGCCCATTACTCTTCACCTATTAAAGATCTGACTTCTCACCTGCACTGTCTACTTTAGCTGTATGTAGATGACGCTACGGTCTCAACTGCTTGTACCTCGATTGATAGTGTTACTTCTAAGCTGAATAGCGATCTTAAAAGTATAATTTGTTGGAATTGTCAAAATTTATTGGAAATTAAACTTACTTAAACAGTTTTTATGCTATTTAAACCCACTAAAAAAAAGTTGTTGAATTTCCGTGTATAATGATCAATAATTTCTATCGAAAATTTCAACAATTGTCGTTTTCTGGGTGTGATTCTTGATTCCCACTTAAAAGTACACTTCAAATGTCTCACACCTCGAGCAAAAAGCTACCTATGGCACTGGGATTCTCATCAAGGCACGTCCATACTTCCATCTAAATACTTTGTTTCTCTTCACTACGTTTTCATTTACGCTCACTTCATAGCGTCCTGGTGTAATACATATAGCACTCATCTGGCTCCTTTGCTACATATTAAAAACCAGGCCATTCGCATTATCATATTTCAGTCACCACAATTTTGTGCACCTGCTCTTTTACATGAGCATTGTATTCTAACCATACCGAAACTTTTCAATTTTTACATGGCAATCCTTACATACAATTCTCGTCACTCAAACACCCCATTCATAGTTTTTAATGACGAAGAGCTCACTTATCAAAATACAACTCGATTCGCATCAAATAATAACTTTTTGCTTCCTAAAGTTAGGACTAACTATGACAGATTCACTTCTATCTTCACAGCGATTTATGTCTGGAACAGAATTACAAGTGAGATGAAAATGTCTTCGAGGATAGGTAGCTTTAAAAAACACTCATTTTTTATTTACTTAACGTTTATTTATTTATTTACACAATACCTGCATTGCAGAGCGGTTTCTCCCAAAATGTGCTTATATTGATGTGTCTGAAATTGTTGCCACTTTGCCCATTATAAATCATCACATGTGATACCTCGTATAGCAGTATTCTATTCACGACTATTTTGCTGTTACCGCATGGTATCATTTGGACTCTATTGTTGCATTATGGTTTGTATTACCCTGGTTTGTATCGTTCGCTTTTGATCTCACATGCATTACAGTGTCTTTGTACATCATGTTTTAGTTTGTTAACTGTCAAGTGTTATCGATTCTTTGAAACTTGTTCTTTTCTGTACGCCAAGTTGCTCTGCTTGATTCACTTTCTTTTGTTTCATGATGTTTCTTTTGTTTAACCAGCAAAGGAGGTCCTTTTGCTTTGGGACCTTCTTCTTTATATTATTTCCGCTATGCATTAGGTATTATTTTTTTTCAAATCAATAAAAGTATTTCTTCTTCAGATAGGCGAGTTTGGAGCAGCCGGGGTGATTTGGCGCAGGATGGCACAGGTAAGCACATTGGCACTAATGGCGGAATTGTTCCACCCCTGATTTTACAATGGCTTGAAATTTTCTTGCCAAATTAACAACACATATATAAAATATCTATTCAAGCAACATGCACAACTTTGTGGAGCTTACTTTAAAAATAGCAAAGCAATGGGCTCTCGTAGTAGCACACCTGTCTTTGCAATCTGCCCCCCCCCCCCCCCCTTAACATGACGAAGACGCACATTTTGCAAACAAGGCGCAAGTGACACCTAGCAAGCGCCCTCGCGCAACACGGCGGCGGCAGCATGACGCGGTTGTGCCAACACGCAGTTTAAACATGTGTACCCGCAGCCAAGCAGATATCTGCAGATGACTGTGACAACCAGAGACCAGATTTCAGACAAATGCCTATTTTTTTGTTTCTTGCATACCTATCAAGCCACTTTGGTATATCAGAATGAATTAGAGGTTAAGAAGAGTTTTTGTAGTGTTTTTATGGTGCCTATAAATGCCTATTGGTTATGTTTGTGCCTTAATTCCTATAAGTGCCTATGAATACTTATTTTCAAAATCTGTGCCTTCAAAATGCTATTTAGCCTCAATTTCGATTTGGAGGAAGTTGGAGACCGGTATTCATGTTACTAGAGGAAATGGAGCTTTCGTAACTCTATAGGGCACAACCTGTACTCCATCTCACAAGTTTATTTCAGCAGTATCAAGGTAACAAAGCCCCTTAGCCCATAGAAATGCCGATTAGAACGAATGTGAAAATATGGAGGTTAAAAATATTAGATGTCCACGTGGTATTTTTTTTTTTGTCATTTACTTCTGAAAAGGCGCTTCACTAGGTCACATGAAAAATTTTAGTAAGACACTGCAAGTCGTGTTCCATAGCTCTGTACCACAAGAATTTTTTAAATGGTTTATTAGGAGCTGCAAAAGCATCACGCCAGTAGGTGGTCTTGAAACCTTTGCCCCTTGATGGGTGTAGACTTCGCAAGCCAAATTCCTTTCCTGCTCACTTCAGCGTCAGAGAAGAGGATCACATTACGCAGACGTATATACATCATGCGCACGCAAGGTTACATTCGCATGGCACGCCCAAGTCATTTCGGCATTCTCTGTATTGTATATAGTACTGCCTGTTTCTTTGGGATGGATTCCTCTATGCATGCACGTTTAGAAAAGCTCGCATGGATCATGTATTCTTACCACACAACACAGTATCGCACCACTGGAACTGCTCTAAGAAACGATGCGCCGAAAACACGAAAGCATTGTCAGGGCTGGCACCGCAACATGATGCGAGAACGGTGAGAATACCACTGCAAACCAAATGAAAGCAGCTTAGCCTAGCATCTCGCTCGATACGAATTTGGAAAAATAAATAATGCACACACAGATTCCATTTCTATGTTTTAATATTTCTATTAACCTTCATACTTCTATGCAAGCAACACACAGCACAAGTTACACAGGTTGCCTTGAATAATGCTCACAGTGTCACGTACTACTTTGACCTACTTAGGACCATTCCTTGTAACACCACCTCCACCATGTTGGGGCGCGTGCCTCTTAGGTAAAAGGCAAGCGGCCTTTTGTCTGATATTTCACCTCTTCCAGGAGTGCGTAGCATTGCAAATCTTGGCTGACGTGATCCTGAGCACCTAGTACACGCATTTCCTGCTCGAAATGGCCGAATCTGGTGAGGGGTGTTTTAAGGTGTTCACAAACCGAGGAAAAAACCACCCTGTGACTTAGTTATAACGAGGCCAAAAGACCCTCCTGGCTCACTAGTGCTCCGGCCATTTGCTCCTGTGCTGCCCTTCTCAGCCATGTTGAAAACAAGGAGACCCAGGAGCATGTTTATTCGACGGTAGACACTTAAAGGGACGCTTTTTGGCGTATTAGTGAAGAGCAATTTTACAATCCCGAAAACATCACTCTTATCCCGATGCGACACTTGGTATGCGAGAGAAACTGCGGATGGAAACGTCACATTGAGAATGTTGCACACACACTGCGACGTCATGAATTTTCAAAGCTGTCTACTGGGTTTTACATAGTTTCTAATTGCCAAAACTGAAGTAGTACATTGTAATCTATGGCTGCCAGAGACTTAGCATAGGAAGTCTCTGAAAGTTTTATCAAGCCAATGTTGCAAAAATACGAAAAATACATTGCAGAATTTTTTAAGTCATGCATGGACATAACAGGGTAAAATTTAAAAACGAAACTTCAGTCTTCATTTTCTCTGCTAATCATGAACTAACAATTAAACATTACAGTTCTCAGAGTATCAATCCAAAAACAATTCATTGTTTCTCTTCAGTGTCCCTTTAACTCACTATGCTGAAAACCCTGCTGGAAAAAAAAAATGCATGGCAAGGCTGAACCGGGGTCTTTGTACCATCATAAACTAGAACATTAATTTTTCCTTTCTGTCATACACACAAACTCTGCACGTAATCTTTCAAAAATTTGAATTTTATAAAAACTTATTGTGCCTACAATTATGATTTTGGGGGCCTAAAACTGGGTTTTGCCTGCCTATTTTTGGTGCCTAAAACCCAATTTTTAATGCTTATAAATCCAGCCTCTAGTGGTAACGCTGTCGGCGATAAGTTGAAATCACGCGTTCATCGCCACTGCCCTTCGCTCATATTTGATCGACGGAAGAGCTTTTGTGGCACATAGTGGCACCAGCGAGTTGAGCATTGCAGTGAACTTTTAACGGACTCAAGGTTATAGTCTTGCATATATGTCTTTTAATGTTCGACATAACATTGTTTAATTAATTATTGGCAGTTGCAGAGAATGGCATCAGAAATGTTTACTTTGCGACCGCAAGCTTAATTCATGCTCCCTTTGTTTGCTCTTTCCTTTCAGCCAGTTGAAAAACACCTAAAAAGTGAGCAACCTCGCTGGGAGCTTCTCAAATGTGCGTGCGGCACTCACTGCGGTATTCGATATGTTCGTGGCAAGTAAGTGGACAAGCGCGAGCGTGCGCCTCTCGCATGCTTTAAACCAACTTTTTTTTTCTCTCTAACTTTTTTCGTATTTCGTATAAGCCATATTTTTACCGCGACCATGTTAGAAGTGTTTTGCGCCCCGACGCGGTAGTCTAGTGGCTAAGGTACTCGGCTGCTGACCCGCAGGGCGCGGGTTCGAATCCCGGCTGCGGCGGCTGCATTTCCGATGGAGGCGGAAATGTTGTAGGCCTGTGTGCTCAGATTTGGGTGCACGTTAAAGAACCCCAGGTGGTCTAAATTTCCGGAGCCCTCCACTACGGCGTCTCTCATAATCATATAGTGGTTTTGGGACGTTAAACCCCAAAATATCTATCTATCATGTTAGAAGTGTTCTTTGTAAAGGTAGGAGGCACTGGAAAATATTTGCTATATGTGGGCGCAGCTTCCAAGGGTAGTATGGGAAAACCGTAAGTGCGCTGAAATATGGTCGCTATAACCGATAGATGGTTATATCTGGGATCGTTAGAAGTGGGCTCAATGATAATGACTTCTTATTCTGCCACTCAACACTACAAGCACCACTCCTCCCTCTACATGGGCATTTTTGCAAAGCAGTTCCAAGCAAATCCAAAGCTCTGTGGTGGAACAGTAGCGTATCACGCTGAAGGCCAGGGGTCCATTCTCACTCGCACCGAACGTTTTAAAATTTAATTTACATTTTCCTGACAACCTTTCTCATGTAACTCTAATGATACCAGCACCGAAATTTCTACAAAACACTCTTGTTAGCATAAGCACCTTAAACTATGGCAAAACAGGACAGCCGAACCCATGTTGCCTTAAGAGGACAGGGTAACCAGAAATATTGAAAGCATTCTTTGCTTTTTGTGTTATTCGAAATCTGCAGCCTTTTCTGAACCAGAATCAGCAGTTTGTTTGTCTTCGTACAATTTTTTTTTCTAAAGATGACATATTTCAGAACTTGTGCGGCAGCCTGCGATGCCCCCCTTTTTACGCAGCAAGAAATTCCTTTCAGTTCAAGCATCATAGCCATATGGAGAATCTACAGTTTACAAGCTGGAATGCTTTTGGCGCATTCAGATAAGAATGGGCCCAGAACTGTGAAAACAAAAGAAAGCAGAGACATCAAGCTTTCTGTCGGGAATTTTGTATCTGGTGGAGGACGTCTTAGTGGGGTCATCATTGGCTAGCACCAAGACTATTAAAGGTGGCCCAACAAAAAAAACAGAGCCAGCTTGGAGGACATGAGAAAAACCATTCGGTCTACATATTTTCACATGGCATCAACGGATATCAATCAATTCGGCAGCCTTTACTGGAAGGACACCGAAATTTGGTGTAAACTTAACAAAGCCCAGTTGAATGATGAAGCATTCGTTCATAAAGAACACCTTCTAGCATCTGTTATTGAGGCCACTAAGCCAAATTATCTGCAACTAGCCCATTCAAAATTACTTGCTAAATGCCTCCATGAGAAAACTCAATACCATAATGAGCCGTTGAACTGCCCTGAAGAAGCACCTTAAATAAAAAAAAAATTGCTTTTCTCGAACTCAAACGTTGTAAATATACACTCTTGATGCTGCGTTCACATTTAATGATTATAATACATATACCCAGTGTGAATGTGCTGGACTAATTTCGAATTTCACCAAGGCACAGCACAGTGCAGACAGGGCGTACACACCCTTGAACTGTGTCAGCAGTACCATGCTGACATGACTGCATAGCACGCGACAAATGAGGCTTGCCAAGCAAGACATTCCAAAGCAAAAAGAAAAAATTATATTGGTGATGAGTATCTGGCTTGCACCTATTGAACGAGCCCATCAATTTTCTGTTATCTTGTTGTACTTATCAAATAATGCAGATCTTCAATTTTTAAATGTGATTTAAAAAACATGCTTTTCTTTTGTATAGTCAAGCCTACATATAACGGCCCCACTTAAAACAAACTTTTGCTTAAAACGAACAATATCCGATTGATTGATTGATATGTGGGGTTTAACGTCCCAAAACCACTATATGATTATGAGAGACACCGCAGTGGAGGGCTCCGGAAATTTAGACCACCTGGGGTTCTTTAACGTGCACCCAAATCTGAGCACACGGGCCTACAACATTTCCGCCCCCATCGGAAATGCAGCCGCTGCAGCCGGGATTCGAACCCGCGCCCTGCGGGTCAGCAGCCGAGTACCTTAGCCACTAGACCACCACGGGGGGGCAACGAACAATATCCGCATGACTGTGAAAATATACATTGGTTCAATGGCACAAAATTGCACTTACAACGAACGTCTCCCAGCGCTGCTGATTGGTTACAGCGAACGGAGTCAGCGGTCTGCCAACTTCCTGGGAAACCAATTTTGACCACCGATCAGGCATCGGCGAGGTGCCCATACATTCTTATTGTTAAACGCCGACCCTGCCTCCGCGACCCTCTAGTTGCCGCTCTCCCCGACCGCTTTCTTTACGCACCCCTCCGTCCTTGTCGACCCCCGCTACTCTTGAGCACCCCGCATCGCCAGACAAGGCCCGTGTTTTCACACTGCCACCGATCTTTCGAAAACCGGTCGGCCACCTACCCTGTTTTTCATCGCTGGTACTGTTGTTGGCGTCGCCGGCCTGGAGTGACCAGACCATTTGCCAACATCGTCGGCCACCGGCTGTATCCGATAGTCTGCGTCTAAAGCACGCGCGTACGCTACTTCACGGACTCTGATAATTTGCGATTTGCTTCGTGTTTAGGACTTGTTCTCGCTCACTTCGCACTCGGCTCAGCATGCCTTCTGCGTGCATGCGGAAGCGCGAAAACGGCTGTTAATTTGCGCGGCACAAATCGCGAAATATGGAAATATGGAAGTTCGTGAGGCCACGCAAACCCGCCGGCGCAACAAAACGATTTTTTGACCACAGCCGCCGATTCTTTGAACACCGCCGCGCACACCGATTCAGGCGACCATGCACTCTTTCCAAGTTTTTCTACGTGCGAGTTTCACGGACCTTTCAAGCAAGCTACCCAACCTGCCTCCTTCCCGTGTGTTTTGGTTTTCAAGGTCGCCCTCCCGCCGCATCCTCCTTTCTTGTCGCAACTCCTTGCCCTTCTATCGCAAGTCTTCTCTCCTCTCTTGATCACAATCCCTTCGCCCGTCTCCACTGCTCCGCGACGCCCGCCACGCTGGCTCGAATTAGTTTCGTTTTCTGACTGGAAACGAGCCCAAAGCTGTTCCACGCCTTTTGGGATGTGTGTTGTGTGTGCGCGTCTTGCTCACTCTTGGTGAGCGTGTGTGGTCATGATGGCCGACGGGAGGACTAGCACGCTTTTTCTTGCCGCTCAAAACGTCGAAAGTGTGACCGCTTGGCTTGAGTGTAATCAGCGCATTAGGTGCAGCGTTGCGGAGCGCTTGCTCATAGCTGTTGACCACCTGGCAGCCAATTTGCCGCTTCGGGCGTCCCGGTATTCATCTGTGGAGATGGTGAATATTTTGTGGGCGGCGGTGACGGCTACATTCGCGCGAAACTGTTTTCGCGAGGCCGACTTCGTTGACGCCGGGCCCGATGCCAAGCCTGAAGCTTCCGAACAGGACCACTGCGGCGGTGAATTGTGGCAGCGCGTCATCGACTCCGACCTGGGAGAGTGGGTGGGACATCTGTTGCGATGGTTTATTTACGGCCGATGATGATGCTGACACTGCGGAACCGTGCACGGATTAGGGCATTGTCAATGAAGTACGTGGCGAGAGCAATTTGGAGGAATCGGATTGCGAGAACGACGGAACTTTGCAGTCAGTGCTTCATGCAGCTTATGCCACGAGCCTTGGCAAACGAGCACCCTGCCGTTTTAAATGAACTCGAGACCTCCCTTATCGCTTCTGCTCTTCGAAACACGTGCATTACGGACTTTTTGGGGCTAAAAAATTTGTGTTTTCACTCGCAACTTTTTTTAAAAGCTGTGTTTCATTTACTATGAACTTCGGAATAGAGCTAACGGATGCCGCGTCACGCTCAGGTTCGTTATAAGCGGGCTCGACTGTACTTGTGTTCCTTTTTCTGAGCACCCACAGTATCTAGAATTACAGTTTTTGGCCAGTATTTCAATAACGTAATAGGGAATATGGTGAAGCAGAATTATTGTTGTGTGAGGAAGTGCTCTTCTACAATACAACATCTAATCGCTATTATCCAATGCTAATTAGGTACCTGAGACAAAACATTTACAAAAAAATTAACATTACGACTTTCAGTGCTAAATATGCTTTAGTATGAAGAAGACTGGCTCATGATTTCAATGATAGTTGATTGACACGTGGGGTTTAACATCCCAAAACCACCATATGATTATAAGAGGCGCAGTAATGGAGGTCTCCGGAAATTTTGACCACCTGGGGTTCTTTAACGTGCACCCAAATCTGAGCACACGGGCCTACAGCATTCTCGTCTCCCTCGCAAATGCAGCCGCCACAGCCGGGATTCGATCCTGTGACCTGCGGGTCAGCAGCCGAGTACCTTAGCCACTACTAGACCACCGCGGTTGGGCATCTCAATGGTACTAAAATAATTACTGTATCTCTCATGGTTATGGAGAAAAAGATCCATAAACTTTGCCTAAATGCATGGCAGGTATAGGGCTTAGGGCTTGCCTGTTGACTTAAGTAGGAATCATGCGCACACATACTGAAACTTTAGCGCATGCAACACGAGGACGCAAACGAAATGTTCACAAGGACCAGCGCCGGCTATGAACTGAACATTTATCAATTAGAAAACACAATACATAATCGTTACAGCACATCATGTTCACTGTGTATGAGGCGAGTTGGTCAAACCGATGAGAGAGTTAGTCAAACAGTTAATCAATCTTTATGTTCACCCTAATCTGATAAGAGAAAATGTAGAAGCCAGGTGTATCTCTAGAATTCAAGACATGAGTGTCAGTCACCCATCTGTATTGCTGAATGAGAACAAAATTGAATTGCTGAACGTGATGTGAT